AAGCTGTTATGTCAGTAGCATGTTGGAATATGGCCATATGAGAAATCTTGAAAAATAAAAAGAAAAGAAATGCAACAAATGATTGCAGTGAAGAAAGGGTGGAACCAACTGTTAAAAAAAAAAAAAAAGGAAGCCCGGGAACCCATAAAACGTAGGACCTTAAACTCACCAGTCAAATAAGTATAATTCCCAGCATTGAAATCCAAATTCTTCAGTAAATTTTTTCACTCTGTCAAGAACCACTATCTCGGACAGGAAGCAAAAGAAAGAGGACATGAATCAAATGGAATGTAAGGTCATATTCAACCTATGAATAGCTGAGGCTATCACGTCAAAAGGTCTTTCTCAGACAGAAACAGCACGAATGGGAAGATATAGATATATCTGACAGAAGTGCCAAAATCTTTCTTCAAGAAATTACAAAAGTCTCGAACTTTTGTACGCCGCTCGGAGACCCAGTTGCCAGAACTTGCAGATTCAGGTTAGGAGAGTGGGTTTCCGGCGAAGAATGGCGGTGGAAAGCGAAAAAATGGGCTCTGATGGGAAGGTTTGGAGTCTCTGTAGAATGCCGTTTTGGCAAACGAGCCACGCTTCTTCTTCTACCTCCACTTCTATGCATTATGTTCATCATCACACCAAAACATGAATCTTCAACCTGGTGATAGATCGGCTCAACATCAATCTTCCAGTATGGTTTCCTCCATGGCCAAGTCTCTGCTTCCTACAAGGAAGAGGCTACGACTTGATCCTCCCAACAAGCTCTACTTCCCCTGTAAGTCTCTTACGATTCCTCTTAACTTTTGGGAATCACCTTATGTTAAAGCTTTTTGTGGAATTATTGGTGGAATGTTTAGCTGCCACGGATACAAACAAGAATGTTGTATTGTAGGTTGAGCTTGATAATGATTCGAGTTCCCACTAATTATAAGATTTATGCTCTATCTGATATAATGTGACTTTGTTTTTCAAGATGAACCAGGAAAGCAAGTTAGGAGTGCTATCGAAATAAAAAACTCTAGCAAATCTCGTGTGGCTTTCAAGGTGAGGAGCATGTTTCTAGTTGCTGTTGTTGTTTGTTCTTATTTTCTTGTATCCAGAATTGATATTTGAAAATAAGGCATTTCTGTCATGTTACATATATGACAAATTGAAAACTCGTCGTGTTGGAAATTTTGCTGGCTCTCGCTCTCAATACTGCATTGGGAAACTATTGTCTGTGTTTCAACTAAAAAAAAATGGCAATATTGGTAAATTGGAGCTTCCTAGCTAGAGTGCGTCAATAATTGTGACAGGACTGGATAAGCATTCTCTTCAACTTTGGAAATATTTCTGAAACACCAGAATTCATGCACTTTTTTTTTTTTTAAAAAAAGTTTTTATAAGGTTCAAAATCTTTAGATAACTAGATGATTGTACAGTCAATATAGTTAACTAGATGGATATTGTTTTTTTGCCCCATGCCTTTTTTTTCCATATGTTTATTTATTCACTTCTATTATTGCTATTATTGGTGACCGACATGTTGATTTGTCTTAGTTTCAAACAACTGCACCCAAGAGTTGTTTTATGCGCCCCCCGGGTGGTATACTTGCACCTGATGAAAGCATAATCGCCACTGGTAAGCTATTCTTCTAAACTGGTATTAAGAAATATAATTCAATGCTAAGAAGTTGGTCGGTCATCCTAAGATAGTGACATTTCTTTGGCAGTATTTAAGTTTGTTGAGCCACCCGAGAACAACGAGAAGCCAATTGATCAAAAGAGCAAGGTTAAGTTTAAAATCATGAGCTTAAAAGTGAAAGGCGAAATGGACTATGTACCAGAACTGGTAATGTATTAGTGTTCCTTTCCTCGGGACACGGCTTAAATCTTTGTAGTTCTATGCCTCCTTGTCAACGTGAGCCTAAATTGAACTTCGAGTTCCTGCTTCTGCACTGATTGGAGTTTGTATAGTTATGTTTATAATCGTTGAATCACATTTGCATTGTAAGTTAGTTAGTGGCCTCCTTTTTTCAGGGAACTTACCTCAAACTCTACTAAATTTCATGAACCGTTTTTGGCTAGCATCATTTAGACATTTTGGTCAAGTTAAAAGACCCATCCTGGTAAAAGTTTGTGCTATCCTAACCAGCGGTTTTGACTTCGAGTTCTGAATATGCGGCTGTGTTAAATACTTGTTGGGAGAGCTTTGCTGCCAAAGTCATCCTGCCCTGCTCAACCCACTAATAATGGGTAATTGTATTTTTTTTTTAAAAAAAAAAGACCCATCCTGTGCGAATTTTGCATATCGCATTATTTATACAAATGGTCTTGAGCCACAACTACTTGTCAAACGTGACCGTATTCTTAGAATCATATCCCTAACCAATTCATAATCTGAACATACATGACTGGTAATATTTTGGGCCTATCAATGTATGTAGGAATAAGTGAAGTCAGTTATATTTCACTTATTTGTCTGAACATTAGGAATAGAGCAGTTTGGTTGCTTGGGGGACAAAAATGACTATCAAGTGTAAATGCAGCAATCAATGCAAATGCTTTCAGATGCCAATAAAGTTGCCATGTTATCCTTCATATGCAGTTTGATGAACAAAGGGATCAAGTTGCGGTGGAGCAAATTCTGCGGGTTGTATTTCTGGATCCTGAACGTTCTAGCCCTGTAAGATTAATAATACATCTCAAACGTATTTGCGATCCTCACCATCTCAAATATATGTAAGGTTAACATGTCTCAAATCTTTCTTAAAAGGCCTTGGATAAACTTAAACGACAGCTAGCTGAGGCTGAGGCTGCATTGGAGGCGCGGAAGAAGCCACCTGAGGAGACAGGCCCACGAGTAGTTGCAGAAGGAGTAATAGATGAATGGGTTAGATTCTTTCTTCATGTTCTCTATTTATAGTCTCGTCATTTTCTCCGTAGCTTCAATTGGATGTTGTCTTTTTATTTTTCTTTTCTCTCATACTCTTAGTTGTTTTTTTTTTTTTTTTTGGGGGCAGAAAGATAGAAGAGAAAAGTACCTAGCCCGGCAGCAGGTTCAAGGGGTCGATTCAGTGTAACCTGTACAGTGGTGTTTCCTTTTTCTCAAGTCTCTGATCATCTGAGTTTTATGTTGAAAAAGTCACATCCCCTGGCCAGATCTGGTGGTTTGAGTAAACCTAGAAGGAGGCTTTAAAGACAGATTGTCACAACATTTCCTTTTCCCCTCTATTAAAATAACATGTTCGTGATGGTAGATGCTTTTGAATAAGTACAATGATTCTCCGGATTTGAGATCTTTAAACTAGTTTAAAAACTTATCAATGTTGATTTTTGATGCTGAAGGAAGATCTGTATTTAATTATAAAATAAAGAAAAAATTAATAATTTGATTTTGTAATTTTGTCTCAGTTGTAATTCAATCTTTAAATTTTAACTTATAATTTGATATTGATAATTTTGATTCGATTGTAATTTAATCCTTTAATTTTGACTTTTTCAAACAGTTTTATAATTTTAATCATTTAAAATATTGGTTCTTGTATTTTAAAAAAATAACATTATAAAGATTAAAATTATGTGAAAATTTAGTACTAATATTTTAAATTACTTAACCCTTTTAATCTTTAAAAAGATTATAGGGATTAAAATTTTAAAATAGTTGCAATATTTATGATTTTTTTTCTTTAAAATACAGAGACAAATATGTAAATGATTAAAATTATAATTGCAAAAGATAAGATTCAATAATTGAATTGAAATTATAAGGGTTAAGTTATAATGAGTTAAAATTTAAGATTAAATTATGATTAAGTTAAAATTATAAGAATTAAATAATTAATTTTTATCTTGCTTGAAATTGGAGACACTTCAGTTTATGTTTTACAGTATGTCAGTGCATTGATTTCTCTATTCAAGCTCTTAATGAAGATAAGCGGGCTTGCAAAGGCAATGTGTCTTAACATGTTGTAGAAAACACAAAAAATCCCGGAAACATAGCATTGAATTTCATGGTAAAAATAATGATATCATCCATTGACATAAATTAAGAAAGGAATATATAGTTGGACATTGTTGAATGAGAATTTTAGCAGAATGAAATATTACAGATTGTAAATATTCTCCTCTTTTTGTCATGAATATATGATCCAAATTTGAAGGCCCGTTTCTGGTGTGGTGCGCCTTAATTTAATGTGGTTATAGCCCTGTAGGAGAGAATTTGGTTCAGGTAAAGTGAGAACTGAGAAGTCATTCATATTCCACTTGAGTCCCTGCCGAATATGACGCGTCTTCCCCAATCAGCCACCACCAAATACCTGGTACGCCAGCTCACTTGTTTGCTGCAATATAGGAAGCCATTAGAGGAAGACAAGACAGAAAACACGCTTGAAACAACAATATGGTACTTTTGAAGAGGTTGTTATAAAATTATATTGTTATGTTACCTTGCATATACAGAATACCAGAGCCACTGGGTGCTGTGTCCGATTGAAACCCAATCTCCCGGAAGCTGAGCTGCTGCTTGTTCTCCTCCTAACGGAGCAAATTGCCCGAAATGCTTGTACCTTCCACCATTCGAACAAGTTAGTACAGTTATAACTCGTCATCAGCAACATGTATTACCTTGAACTTCAAGAAGAAAATGATAAAGCAGAGGATGAAAATACCTGAAGGGACGAAAACGATGACGTCCTGTTCCTCTAAACCTAAGTGGCCCTTCAGGATATTTCTCACACTTCTCCATTCGGTTGAAACAATCTGCAAGATACTCACCTTGTTGAGCGGCTACCTATGAGCAATCCAAAAAAGGGGGGGAAATCGTTTAGCCACAAATGCAATAAAATCTAGTAGTGGTGCCTGATTTTTTGTATGTACCTGAGCTGTTGCAGGAAGATTTTTCATCTGGGAATCTACTTCGGAAAGACAAGATTTGAATGTTTCAATGTCCACCAGAGCAGCGTTGTCTTGAGAGTTCTTCATTAGTGCCAATATGTTACTCATTTGCTTCTTCTTTAAATAAATATCCACTTGTGGGTACCTCTCAATGATGTCTCCAACAACCTCTTGAAAATGATCCAGATCTAATTTTCCGATGTTGTTCTTGTCTGCCTTGCTAAATATAACTGCTATATCTTCCTAGTCAAAAACATGGCAGGCCAAGGGTAGCCACTAAGAATTTATTGTTTGGACTAACATTTCAGAACGTAAAGAATCAAAGCGTTTTTTGGGCTAACATTTCAGAAGGTACGACGTGCATTAGATTAGATTAGGGCATACATACCATAACTCTCCGTTGATTTACAGTGGCACAATCTCCCAGGGCATAGATGTCGCCAAATCCTTCCACTCTCAACCATTCATCAGTGCTAATTGCGCGCCTACTACCCTGTCAGAATGAGAATTGAAACCAGATAAGCAAAGAGCTTGCCACACTGACTTTGAAGCTCAACACTTGAGAGATTGCAAGCGGGACATAGAAACAAACCTGACCAATATCTTTCATAAATTGAACAACTTCAGGACGAGGACCAATACCAGTCGACCAAACCACCATTCCATAAGGTAGAGATACAACCTTACCAGTTCCTCTTTCTTTTGTACAAATTTCATTCTCAGCCACTTTCACAACCATTGAACCTAGTTTCACATCAATCCCATCTCTTTGGAACTTTGCTTCTGCAAACTCAGTAATCCTCTTGTCAAACCTGCAATAATTTAAACCAGTTATATATTATCATCCCACAGCGGAGAAGCTAACCCAGAAATCCAAAAGAAAAAGGTTAAAGATTAAAGATGTTGAGAATCAAAGTAGAAATTGTATTGTACATGTTTAGAATATGATCGCCTGCTTCCAAAAGCGTAATCTTTACGTAGTCTTTGGCAGAAGGATATAGTTTGTATAAATCCTGATGAACATGATCATGAAGCTCTGCAGCAAACTCTACACCAGTCGGACCACCACCAACCACCACAAAATGCAGGAGTTTCTTCTTCTCCTCTTCTGGTACGCATGGCAGGCTTGCCTTTTCGAATAGTTCAATCACTTTTCGACGGATTCTCTGAGCATCTTCCACTTCCTTCAGAAAGATTCAGAGTTCTCTAGCAAGTTACATCATTTTATGTACAGAGAGAAAGAATAAAAGTACGAAGTTTATGGTGACACATGCACACACACGCTGATACAGAAATTGAGAATATACCTTCAAGAAGTGAGTATACTCTTCAACACCTGGGGTGTTAAATGTGTTAGAACGGGCTCCCATTGCTAGAACGAGGTAGTCATAATCAACGGAATATTCTTGTTTGCCATTTTTGCTGTCTTGAGTAGAACGACAGTATACTTTCTTATTCTTGGCATCGATCTTAAAGCATTCAGCTTGTGTGAATTGCATGTTTACGTTCTTCTGTTGCAACATTTTTAACATTTCAAAATAATGTATTAAAAATCTCAAAATGAATCCAAATAATAGTAAGAAAACTCAGTCTTTTGGAAGATGAAGAAGACAAAAGAACTACTCAATTCCGTAAACTCAGAAAAGAGAAGACTAAACACTGCTCATGATTTTTCTGGGGAAAAAAATACTACAATTTTTCAGCCTAGTCAACTCATCTATCATTTCAAGTAGTTTTGTTTGCCTTCAGGCAAGAATTCTCTTCACTTCTTGAACTAATTACTTTCCCTCCACCGCAGCAGGCAACTGTTCAACATAAAACTGGCATAAACGTGCAATGAAATGAAAGCAAAACAAACGAAGAAAAAGGGGCACGCGGCAGAATATTACAGAACCAAAAATGGTGATGAGTATGAAGGAGAGGACCTTCCGGATTATTTTGCGAATTGGTTCAACAATGCTTCTTGATTCCACTGTGCCTATAGTAACGCTTGGAAGCAAAGGCGTAAATGCAAAATAGTTACGAGGCGAAACCACTTCCACATCAAACAAAGGGTTTTTCAGATTCTTCACAAAACTGGTCCCAGCCCATCCAGTTCCCACCACCACCACCTTCTTCTTCGGGCATTTGTCTCCGCCACTCGCATCAGCATATGCCACTAAACCTCCACCGCTGCAGCCCAGACCAGAAAACGAATTAAAACCCAGAAACTATAAGACAATGGAGGATTTGAAGCGACTTTATAGCATATGAGGATGGATGATGACCTGACAGTGCAGACGACAAGAACCTTGGACCAGGAAGGAGACTGATGAAAGGCCCTTGAGGCTGTCTGGTAGAAAGAAGACCAACGCATTGCGAAATATGGTTGATTTGATTTGCGGGCAAGAGAGTAGTAAATTTGAGAGTGAAGGTTGCAGAAAAGGAAGAGTAACCGAATTAGATGGTACGTGAAACATGGAGTTGGCATGTGATAATGCGTGTTGTTTGTAAATTGACTTGTCAAAGGATCAACAGTAAGACACGTGGCGTTTGGTTAGGGAAGGGGATGACCTTTGTGTACGGAGGAGTTGCACACGTTCAGGATTGGCTCAGCCACAGGGCTTGGAAACGCTTGCCAGCGAAGCGAATTTTGCTCTCGTATTCTTGTTTCGTGGAAACTATATTAATCGCTATTGTCTTTTGTGTGCGCGTGTAGAAAATTAATTTTAAAATCTATTAAAGGGGTATCGTATTTAACATCAGATTATTTATACATCTTTTTACTAAGTAATCATTTTATTTTTATGGCCAAAAAAGGATTTTATTGATTTCCGATTTTCTCACTGAAATAGTTCAAGCCAGGGCGTTCATGGAACGGGACGAGATCGAGACACTCCTGTCCCATGTCCAATCCAAAAAAAAAGATCAAAACTGAATTTTTGTCTCACGTCCTATTTCATCTTAAAAGTCATCCTATCCCGTTAGAAATTGAGACAAGATTAGGACATTATGCTGTCCCGATAAATTAGAGAATGTCGGAAAAAAATTTAGATAATAACATTCTTTAAAAACTTAAATCATATAACTTATTAATTTTAAAATCAAAACAACACAAGTACATAAATTACAATAATTTAAAGTCAACTATTGAATTACATTAATCACAACTACACATTATGACAGTAATTACAAGCGATCTCTAACCTATAAGAGCAACAATAACAGGCAAGACAAATACAACATCAAATCATTGTTCTTCTACTTTAATTGAGATGCGCTAAGCTAACTACTCTGTTAAAAATAAAACAAAAAATATAATATAAATAAAAGTTAGTAAATGGATAGATCTAAAAATAAATTGTATTAATATAATCAATATATTATAAATAAAGATATTACCCTATTTATTTTATGTTATTAAAATTATCAATATAAAAAACTTTAATTTTATATAATAATTGCAAATATTGAAATTATAATTGATATAATTAATATAAGTATAAATTATATTAATATAATTAATATATTTAATGTATATTTTTAAAATAAAAAATAATATATATAATATTTAGGATAGGATAAAACATCCCGATGATAATCTTATGTCTCACCCAGTCTTAAATCCTTTTTTTGTTCCATTCTGCAAAATTTTATCTTGATTGTCTTCAAATTGAAAAAAAATCCATTTTGATATGATCATGATGATAATGTGTCAATCGAAATAAATACAAATTAGACACCCCTAATTCAAGCTCGATAGGAGCAGTCGACGATAATTTAAAGTAATGGAAAAGTCAAATCAATTAAACATTTTTTAAACAGCATATGAAGGTTATTATACTCAATATGATTGTTACTCCTTGTGGACATTATTATAAGGTGTTTCCAATATTGTTAGATATTTTAAAAAATGTTATATTCTTAAATTTATTAAAAAAATTGAAGATTCCAATTTTACTCCTATTAATTAAAAGGTCGTTACATCTCTTTTCACATTTTACAATGAAACTCATAAATAGAATTAGGAATAAAAATATCAATTTTAGAAAATATTACACAACCTTTTACCTCTTATATCATGCAACGAAAGCAGCTGTTAAAAATCCCTTGTGATAAGGATCAAAGGGAGTATTAATCAAAGTAAGAAAAAACAGAGCAACGTAACAAACAGCAACAGGGGCTCAGGGCCAGCCACGCATTGAATTACAATCACGAACTGTACGGAAAAATTATAGGAGGGCCAAGAAAAAAATTGTAGCTTAAAATGTCAAAGGTACTATCAAACACAGACACAGAGCACCTTAAAATGTCACTGAGCTTGTTTAGTTGTTGACTCAGATACGACTTGAATCTCTTCCAAAGATGAATCTTCTCGTCCAATCAGCTATCACCAGCACCCTTGTGCGCCAGCTCACTTGCTTACTGAATGTAACAGCACATCAAACAAGCAGTGAGGCACATGAGTTAGTACTAGGGAAGGGCTCTTTGAAGAGAAGTTCATGAATGGACTCAATTTACAAGTAAATACATAGGATACACTGAAAAACGGAACCTGCTTCTACATATTGACAATTGATCCGTCTACCACTTTTTTGTAAACCCTCCGTATTAAAGAATTTCGAGTACTTGAGCGGATAAATTACCTGGCATATACAGAGTACCAAAGCCACTGAGTGCTATGACCCACCGAGACCCAGTCTCCAGGAAGTTCTGCCGCCGCCTGCTCTCCACCAAGAGGAGCAAATTGACCAAAATGCTTGTACCTTTGCATCACAAGCAAAATCACTGATTAGGTAACGACAATTCAAGGAAAGCACACGAAAACAAGATTTTCCACGTTTGCTATCCAGTACTTCATGTGCCCCCCGCGTGGTTATGTGCCAAGCACATGCCCTACCATTGGTCATATTTCAAGTCTATGTTTGTTAAGCACGCATAAGATTACAGCACTATCATTAAAAATACCCAGAAATGTGTTTGCTACATGCATCTCGGATATCCTCCTCCTTCTTTTACAGATATGTATGCTGAGAATAACTGGTTGGTTTCGTTTGAGCACAACTACAGAGAATCAAATGAATGTGCCTATTGGCTAGCTTGTAAAGCTCATCACCTGCATGCTAATATTAATAAGGCTAACAATAAAGATATTAGAATATATTTACTGGAGTAGCAGGGTATGCTAATCAGATCAACAGGCTGTCATTCCTTTTTCACTCCTAGGAACAAAAGGAAAACCAGAACAAGAGATTAGAGTGTCATGTTATATGGATCACCTGAAGGGACGAAACCTATGGCGTCCGGAATCTCTAAATCTCATTGGACCTTCAGGATTCTCAGTGCATTGCTCCATGCGGTTAAAGCAGCTAGCTAGATATGCACCTTGTTGGGCAGCAACCTAAATACCAAATATAAAAGCCTTAGTTCTCAATTCGTATTGTTGAAGGCAAAAGGAGTCTGCAGATGCAATTATTTAGTTGTAGATAAACATACCTGTGCCGTTGCTGGCAGACTCTTCATCTGTGAATCCACATGACAAAGGGCTGACTTAAACCCTTCTATGTCTATTTCTTCTGTGTCTTTCCCCTGAGAATCTTTCCAAAGATCAGCCACATCAAGCATATGCTTGCTCTTCAGGTATAGTTCCACTTGAGGATATCTCAAGATGATGTCATCCATCACATCCTTGAATTCTTTAATGGTTAAGGTACCAGAGTTGTCCTTGTCTGCAGCTTTGAATATGCTTGAGATATCATCCTGAAAACAGAGGTAGCAAAGATCAATTATTTTTTTTGTACTATTAAAATAAGTTATCTTATTTTACTCCATTCCCTCTCAAGAAGAAAATTGCAGTGATTTGTCTTGTTTCAACCAATGATTATTACAGGAATACACAAAAGGAAGACTTTGTTGAAATCCTAAGGAAAAAATCAAACCACAGGCATAAATGCAGAGTGAGATTAATAGTTTGCCTGATCCTAAATCAAGTTGTCCCAATTTATAATAATTTGGTTAAGGAAGTAGATTTAAGTTTAGTATGTTATAAATTCACAGTCCTGAAGTTGAATTAAACATGTTCAAGGATTAAGAAATACCATGATTTTACGTTGATGTATTGAAGCACAGTCCCCAATAGCGTATGCAGCTTGACATCCTATCACTCGTAACCATTCATCAGTTTGCAGGACCTTTCTATTTGCCTGCACATAAAGCAATCCACAATAGATAACATAACAGATTTTAATAAAAGAGAAAAATTGTCGGAAATCCATTTAGTATTTGGTTTGAATGGAAAATTATTGATGAACACAGAAGAGACTGTTTCAACCATGAGATAGAGAGGGAGGACTGTGTATCAGAAATGCTTGGACTTGTGTAATAGCTGGCATTGACCAAAAAAGAAAAAATTAACACCTGATTAATTTGTTCCATGAAATCCCTCACAACTGGAAGAGTCCCAATGCCAGTGGACCAGACTACCAACCCATGAGGTATTGAGCAAACTTCTCCTGTTGATTTTATCTTCATTTTAATTTCCTTATCAGTAACATTGATAACTCGGCATCCTGTTTGAACTTCTATACCATCTCTTCTGAATTTCTGCTCAGCAAATGCACTGATTCTTTCATCAAACCTACAATAAAGAAAAAGAAGGTATATTGGAGTTGTGTCCTTTCATTGCCAATGTTTTGAATAGAATTTTTAGTTAGTCAGACTTTCCCCATGATTATTTTAGTTCATGAACACAGCAATACAGACTCAAGACAAGTTCTCATAAAGGCAATTTCTACTGTGTAATGATGCCTGCAAAGTCAGTAAAATGCACAATTAATGGGAGCCCTAAATTGTGTTTCAGACAAATGGCAACAAGCCTATGATTATAAGAAATCGTAGACAATTAAAGCCTTCCTTACATGTTCAAGATGTGATCTCCTGATTGGACCATTGTTATTTTCACCATATCTTTAGCTGTTGGATATAATTTGAACAGATCTTCATTAACATAATCATGAAGCTCAGCAGCAAATTCCACACCAGTTGGACCGCCACCAACAATTACAAAATGAAGATTTTTTTGTCGCTCTTCATCAGTTAAACTAGGGAGCATGGCCTTCTCAAAGCAATCTATCACAGACGTTCTGATCCTCTGAGCATCCTCCACCTCCTGTGGTGATGATATTGTGCATATTTTAATTAGCAGTCAACTGAGATACCAATTTACTGTCAAAAGTCTCCTGGAAAAAATCCTTCTCAAAATATTGTTCAAAGATTTTAAGAATCAGGAGATAGACCAAGAATTGTTCATAAGCATAGTAGTTCTGAACCATTAAATGACTACCCACCTATATGGTAAAGGTGCATATGAAACTGAATGAAATTTACCTTTAAAAAATGACAGTTCTCCCTGACGCCTGGAGTGTTAAAAGTATTCGCTTGTGCTCCTGTTGCTACAACTAAAAAGTCATATTCCAGAGAAAATTCGCCACTTCCCACCAAGTTGGCATCAATATTGGATCGACAAAAAACTTTTTTGTTTGCAGCATCAATCTTGACACACTCTGCCTCCCAGAATTTAATTTCTCCTTTTCTCTGCATGGAGGAAGAAACAAAAGAACTTCCATCTTAATTATCAAAAGAAAATATACTAGAATAGAGCTTAAAAAGTGTTTAAGATTGCCAACACTTATTTCAAGAAGAGAGATGAGCATCTCATCACTTACAAAAATGGAGCCTCAAGGTCACAGATTG